ACATGTGTGTTGATGAGCCTTTTTTCCTACTTTCTACTTTTGCTCCTTATTGTCCCACAGACCTTTGTGTATGCGAGGTGTGGGGCAGTTTGGGGAGCACATCTATTGGTGCTTAGGGATTACTCCCGGTGGAGCTCAGGAGGCCAAATGAGGTGCCAAGGATTACACAAGGTTTGGCAGCATGCCAGGGGTAGACTGCACTATCTCTCTAAGTCCCTACTGCACCCAGAGCACTAAGAAGGAGAAATGGGCCTATTGAGAATTAAGTTGCTCCATGTATTAGCAGGCCTGGGGCTCGGCAGGTTTGGCCGGTATTCTGTTTACAGAGCAGCTGCATCCACTCTCACCCGGTAGTCCGCCCTGCCCTTGGAGTCCGCCCCCCTCTGGAACTTCATCACCAGGCACCCTAACCCTTGACCCTGGTTAGGATCAGCTGCTGGGGACACAGAGAGAGAGAAAGAAGAGAAACGTAGTCTGACTGTCTCGTCTGTGGTGGGCAGGCTGGCAGAGCCTGTGTTCCTCTTGTTCCTCTTGTAGCTCCTATCCCATGAGCCTCTCCTACACTCACAGCCTTTCTGGACGGCTGTATATGCCCCCTCCTCCAAGTCCGAGAGGGTCATCACTCCCACCTGTGTCGGACTCTAGCATCCCTCATGAGCTCCCCAAGTCTGCCACACCTTTGTAAATAGTCCCTTTCCACAGGTTACCTTTTGGGGTGCCTCTGCCTTCCTGGGACCCTGGCTGACACCCAGGGATTACGAGTGTTGACATGTGCCTTCCATGGCTGACAAACCAAGTCTCTGGCATCTGGCATCGACTCCCCTTTGGCTGGGAGGAGCTGGTGTGTGTTGGACGTGTGGACTCAGTAGACTGAGCTCAAACCTACAGAGTGGAAGTCCGAGAAAGCACACATGGGCAAACCTCAAACTACTGTCATCCATGACGACTGCAGCTCAGATCACGCAAGAAACCATCAGGCTTCAGACACAAGACAACACTCATCATTAAGGACTTCAAAATTTTTTCACAAGTGCTAATTGCTAAGCTGGCAAATTGCTATTTGGAAAATGGACTCTCCTTGGCTGTGGATGCAGTCAGCTGATCCTTGGCCAAACTGGGAGCCTGGGAAAATTCCACTGGGAAGGTTAGTTGGTTCTTGTCAAGTCTTGATTCTCTCTGTCCAAGGGGTATACTTGATTGTCTGACTCAGGACACAGATGGGGCACCTATATTCTAAGGCCGCCTAATCCCATTAAATCAGCATGGACGAGGGCACTTCAAGACAGAGTTGTTCCCTTTTGAGTCATCCTTGGCCTAAGACGTTGACTGTACCAGAATTTTTGGCTGGAAGGAAGTGCAGCCCTCAGGGGCCCATGGGCTATGCTGACAGGAAGCTGGTCATAGCTGGAGCAGGAAGACCAAGTGATACTGAACCTGGGCCAAAGATCCAAGGTCTGGGGCCCAGGGCAAGTCCTGGGCACCTTGGCTTCCTCAGGCCTCTTGCCTTGCACACAGCCCATCTAGGTTTGATTCCTGGCATCCCATATGGTCCCCTGAACACTGCCAGACTTAATTCCTGAGGGCAGAGCCAGGAATAACCCCTCAGCATCACTGGGTGTGCCCCTCCCCACGCCCACCCCCCCAAATAAAAAGAATTCTCATCTAGTGCCAACTAGAGTATCATCACACTGTCAGGGCCCTCCCCACCAGGGCAGAGCTTTACTCAGCAGCGGGGCTTGGCTGGGAGCCTGTGGTGAGGGCAACGCTACCCTGATTGGAAGGTAACGTGTAGCCAGAGGCTCTGGGAGCAGGGGCTGGGCTGGCCAGTGGCCTGCTGAGTGGTCATGCCTTAACTAGGGCCTGGGCAGTTCCTGTGGAGAGGCAGATTGTGAAGAGTCCCCCCAGGAGACGGGAGTAGGGTCAGGATTCTGCCCTGTAGGCCACAGGCACAGAGGACCCCACAGGAGGTGGGGACTCCCAGCTGCAGAAAATGTGACTACGGATCTGTCACCACGACTCCCACCAACCAAGCTCCCGAGGTGCCTTCCCTGCTCGCAGGTCCCCTGTGGCTCTGAGCAGGATGGCCAGAGTCTGGAGCACAGCTGGAGCACAGGCTTGGCACGCGGGAGCCCCCGGTTCCATCCCTGGCACCGTGTGGACCCATTTAGTCCCCTGAACGCCGCCAGGAACGGCCCTGAGCACAGAGTCGGAAGCAGTTTCTTAGTATAGCCAGGTGTGGCCCCCAAGACAAAAATAGAAGGGCAGGACAGATCCACCCAGACCTGATTCTGCACAAGGACTCCTCTTTCACGGCCCCTTTAAGTCTACGAGTGGCATATACAGATCTAAATCCTGTCAGAGTATTATCTATATCATATGTATTATACATATATTTGGTGGTGAGGCTCCACCCGGCAGTGCTCAGGCCTTACTCTCAGCTCTGCACTCAGGGATCACTCCTGGCACTGCTCAGGGCACCATATGGGATGTCAGGGATTAAACATGGGTTGCCGTGTGTAAGGCAAGTGCCCTGCCGCTCTACTATGGCTTTGCTATAGTGTGACTTTTCCTCCAGGCTGGGAAGATGAGTCAAAGGGCTCAAACACATTTTGCCTGCAGGAGGCTGAAGTTCAATCCCCGGCACTGCACACAGTCCCTTGAGAATCACCAAGTGTTGGGGACAGGAGTTCCCTAGCCCTGGGAGGCATGGAGAGACCAGACAGACAACGTTCCTGCAGGAATTCAAGCAGAGTTTTATTCAAGCCAGCATGCTGGGGCTCTGCAACATACCCAAGAACGGGCAGAGGCTGAGAGCCCCGAACTCAGAAACAGGTCATCTTTTATACCGTTTGAGAACAAAGACCACATATTTTTCCCACATATTTTTCACATACATGTTTTGCTAGGTTCCTTACAGTTTTTCTTGTAGTATCTCGACTCAAAGGTAAAGGTAAAGGCCCTCCCGTTGATCATCGATTTGCTCGAGCGGGCCCAGTAACGTCTCCATTGGAGACTTTGTTGTTACTGTGTTTGGCATATCGAATATGTCAAGGGGAGCTTGCCAGGCTCTGCTGTGCGGGCGAGATACTCTCGGCAACTTGCCAGGCTCTCTGAAAGGGGCGGAGGAATCGAACTCGGGTCGGCCATGTTGGCTGCGTGCAAGGCAAACGCCCTTCCGCTGTGCTATCGCTCCAGGGCGAGCGATAGCACAGCGGTAGGGCGTTTGCCTTACAAGCGGCCAACATGGCCGACCCGAGTTCGATTCCTCCACCCCTCTCGGAGAGCCCGGCAAGCTACCCAAAGTATTCGATATGCCAGACACAGTAACAACAAAGTCTCCAATGGAGACGTTACTGGGCCCGCTCGAGCAAATCGAGCAAATTGAGCAAATCTCGACTCAAACACCTTGACCCGGTCACATAGTTTCAGTTTCCAGAATGGTCAAAACACTCTATCTATCTTTAAATAGTTATGTCTAACCCATACCTTACACATCTACTGGGTTCAATCCAATTTTGTATCTCAAGGCTGCTGAACTGTTTACAGAAAGCAATTTTGCAAGTTAATTAACTCCTTCCTAGCCTTCCTAGCTCCTTTCACAAGGAGCTACCCACCCCGTGACCCCCTGAATACTGAACTGGGAGTAACCCCTAAGCACTCTGGGGTGGCTTCCCCTGGTCCTCCAGAAAGAGGGGCCCTCGAGTTAAGAGCCAATCCCCTCCTGCTCAGGGAGAGGACCTTCTGACTCAGAGTTCCTGTCCACCCCAGGTGAGGTCACCCAATCAGGCTCAGAAATGGGGGAGGGCCGCCTCCCCATAGGGGCCCGGCAATGAGGGCCTGTGCTTGGGTAAATAGTAATTAAGTCCCACTACACCCTCCTGGCAGTTCTGAGGGACGAGGTGCCCATACAGGACGAGGTGCTGACTATGCCCAGGTCTCTCCTCCCTGACCCCTGGTCAGTGGAGTCTGCTACTCCAGCTCTTTGTTTCCGGGGTGGCCACAGGCCCCCGCCTCTCTATGGCCCACTCTCTGGACTCCCTGCTAAGACCATGTTCTCTGGACCTTCGGTGACCAAAGTCGGGGTGGAGGCAGCAGTTCCCCCCTTGCATACCAGCATGATCTAACTGATGGTCAGTGACACAGTCAGGGAGGCATGGCTGTCCCCATTTCACAGAGGAGGAAACTGAGGCTGAGGCTAGTGACTAAGGGAAGCAGCATGTGGTACGTGGTTGAGGTGTTGCTCCATCCTGAGTAACCGGGGAGCAGCCCGGCCCTGAGCCTGTCATGGGGGAGCTGCTTTCTTGGAATTCTTGCGGGGGCTTAGAAGCACTCCCCGACCTCGAGTGCTGGTTGGCCCCTCCGGCCACCGACCTCACATGGGCTGAGCACCACTGTGCACCTGTGAGCGAGCAGCAGCTGATGGTCAGGGGAGATGACTCAGCCTCAGCTCTGGGCCGTGTCCTCCTCTGCCTTGGGCAGGCCACGACTGAGCCCCTCACCTGCCCAGGGAAGGCTGCCGGGTCCCCCAACAGAGCCGAGGCCTGGGGAATGGGAATAGGGAGGGAAGTAGCCCAGGTCTGAGGTCCAGGCCCACAGAAACCCCAAACTTCTACCTCAGCCACGCTGGGAACGGCCTATCTGGGTGTGAGTGAGTTTGGAGTCTGGGGGCTGCCCGGGCTGCTGGCCCCAAGTGCCTCCGTGCCCACAGGACACTCGGGTGCCTGCCTTGGAGGAGGCCTGGGGCCTGGAAGGCCAGGGTCAGCCCCGCTCCCTATCCCATTCCCCTCCCCCATTCCCCAGGCTCCCAGGGTAGGGGGGGTGGGGGTCTCAGGCTGCCAGGGAGCAGTGTCACAGCCACAGGCAGGGCCGACCCCACCCAGCCTGTACCTGCCTCCACCTGCGCTGACTCACCACCCGGCCAGTGCCCCAGAGCTGGGCTGGAGGCGTCTATAAAAGCGTCCTGGTCCAGGTCCCGGCATCCTGCTTGACTGACACTGATCACTGACCATGTTTGGAGGTCTGGGAAAGCTCGCCGCTGAGGGCCTGGCCCACCGCACCGAGAAGGCCACCGAGGAGGCCGGTAAGGACCCCATGGCTCTTGCCACCTTGGGGGGGGGGGCCCTCCCAAGCTGGAGGGATTGGACAGAACTGGCGGGTCTCAGGGTTGGGGTCTGGTGCCAGCAGGAGTGCTGGTCCAACAGCCTCTTCTCAGACAGAAGACAGTGGGAGGTCGAGGGCCAGCTCAGAGTCGAGCAGGAGGGGCTCCTGGCCCGACTCACCTCCCTCTGTGCTACCAGCTCTGGCCCTCTGGCCAGGCTTGGGCTGTTCTGGGGTCTGTGGCGAAGGGTCAGCAGGGTGGCCCCGGGGGGCAGGAGTGGAAGCTGGGGTGCTGCTGACAGCTCTAAATCCTTCTCTCTGGCAACCCAGGGAGCCAGTTTTCCACTTCCTAGGCCAGAGAAAGAAGACAGCTTTTTATTATTTTTTTAATTTTAATTTTTTTTTTTTTTTGCTTTTTGGATCACACCCAGCGATGCTCAGGGGTTACTCCTGGCTCTGTGCTCAGGGATTACTTCTGGCAGTGCTTAGGGGACCACATGGGATGCCGGGGATTGAACCTGGGTCGGCCGCGTGCAAGGCAAACGCCCTACCCGCTGTACTGTTGCTCTGGCCCAAGACAACTTTTCATAATTTTTTATTTTGAATTTTTATAATGTTCATCTTTTATAGCTTTAAAGCTCCAAAAGTGTATGTATTAAGAAAGTGCCAGGTTGTGATGGAGTGATAGTACAGCAGGTAGGGCGTTTGCCTTGCACGCAGCTGGCCCGGGTTCAATCCCAGGCATCTCGTATGGTTTGCCTGAGCCCTGCCAGGAGTACTTTCTGAACGCAGAGCCAGGAGTAACCCCTGAACATCGCTGGGTGTGGCATCCCCAAACAAAACAAAAACAAAAACAATACAAGTGCCAGGTCAGCTTCTATTCAAAGTCACAGCCTGGCTGTACACAAAGGATAGTTTCCATTTCTTCAGAGTCCCCAGAAACCCTTTTTCGTATGCAGGCTCAGATGCAGTCGGCGGGAATGCATCCAGGTTCCAGGCCTGTTGGACATTTTGTGAGAAACAGCTTGTGCTGTTTCTCCTCCTTCCCCCTTCTAATTGGCTTCAAACATGCCTGTGATTCATTGGTTAGCTGGGCAGCTGGGATTGATGCCCCCCCCCCCCCCCACTCCAGCCCCCTGATTCTTCACGGGCACTCTGGCTTTTCATGGACGATTTGGACTTTTTCCTTGGACGACTGAGGAGGGAACCAAGCAGGGCAGAATTAGAACCAGAACCAGTTTTTCCGACTCCCAGATCTGCCAGGCATCACATGCAATCTCCCTGCTCCCCCGCAACAAACCAAAACTTTTCTGTAGGCACAGTTCTAACTCGGAAGAAATTAGGTAAACTTGGTTTTGGGGGGACTTGGAAGCTTTAGGATTAAACCTCCTCTTGAAGTTGCCGCTGGCCTGAAGCAAGACAGCAGGACACCTGGGAAATAGCCCAGCCTTGGTTCCAGACCCGGTGGGTGGAGGTGGGAAGAGGGTCACTGGCTTTCCGGGGTACACACAAGACCCTGTGACCTTACCTGGCTCCCTCCGCTGGCCTCCAGACTGAAGGAAGCCAGCTAGACCTGGCTGGGGTATGTGTGTGGGTATCCTAGAGCCCCACGTGGTATCCCTACAACTGTCTCCATGAGGAGAGAACTGTGTTTGTGCTGTGCTCTTACTCCTGACTGTCTTCCTGTCACAGTTCACGCCGTGGAGGGAGTGGTGAAGGAGGTGGTGGATCATGCCAGGGAGGCTGGCGAGAAAGGTATGATTGAGGACAGGACTGGGCGAGGAGGGCAGGAGGGAAGCTGGGTGTGCAACCCGCTCTTTGCCTAACCAGGTCAAAGCCTGACCCGGATGCAGTCTCCTCCAGCTGCTAATAATCATCTAAGCTCCAGGAAGCCCAAGGCAGGATTGATACAGACATTCCTCTCTGTGGAATGTGAAAGGATGATGCTTAAAAGACTGTAGCACCAAGCTGGGACAAATGTTTAAGACACAAATTATACATTTAGTAGGCATATATATGCACATACATCTTAAGATGTGTATGTGGTACTTTGACAATGGAAAATTTTTTTTTTGCATATTGCATATTTTTTGCATATTTTTAAAAATGCATATTGCTTATAACATAGTCTAGATAAATCAAGGACTTAATGTAAAAACACACAATTTGGGAATTTGGGGGACCAGAGAGCTAGTACAAGGGGTAAGACACATGCTTTTCATGAGGCTGATATTGGTTCAGTCCTTGGCACTGCATGGTGGCTTGAGCATCAGTAGGTGCAGCCCTGGAGGCCTCCAAGCACCGAGAGGAGGAACTGCAGCACCAAAGGTCTGGAGCAGGGCCACATCCTTGGGCCCTCACAGTGAACCCAAGGCTGAGTCAGGCTTTCTGAACACCAGTGGGAACCCTACCCCACCCCATGTCATAAAAATTATTAAATTTTGTTTTTGTTTTTTTGGCCACAGCTGGTAGCACATGCGGGAACATGCAATGCTGGAATTTCTGTATGTAGGGCATGAGCCCAGCCCTCTGAGCCTAGTCCGTAGAATTATTAGGAAAAAACATACTTTGGAGAGTTTGATGTAGGTTTTTTTTTGGGGTCACACCCGACATTGTACAGGGGTTACTCCTGGCTCTGCACTCCTGGTGGTGCTCAGGGGGACCATATGGGATGCTGGGAATCAAACCTGGGTAGGCCACACATAAGGCAAACGCCCCACCCGCTGTGCTATTGCTCCAGGCCCTGATGTAGTTTTTTAGGGGAGAGTTTTCCTTTTGGATTTTGGACTTTGCCTGGGAATGTTGGGGGCTACTCCCAGCTCAGTGCTCAGGGGCTGCTTCTAGCAGTCCTGGATGTGGGGGGGGGGGGGACAAACCAGGGGCTCCAGCCTGCAAAGCGCATACTTGATAACCTGCTGCACAATCTCTCTCCGGCCTTTGAAAAATCTTTCTAAACCAAGACAGAAAATACAATCGGAAAATATTATGTAAGCTTAATAATATACACTTCAAAACTTTCCATATTAAAAGCAAATCTGCTAGCTTAGCCAAAAGAAAAACTGCCAACGGAGGAAACATATTTGCAAAAGAGATGATAACTCAATGTAAAAATGAGCAAAAAATTACAAACAGGCACTTCACAGAAGAACAGTAGCCAACACACACAAGAACAGATGCTCAGCTTCACTCAGAATGGAGGAATAAGGAAGGGATGGGGAGTAGAATAAAATCAAATTTAAGTGGGGGCTAGAGAGGTTGTACAGTGGGTAGGGTGCTTATCTTCCACGGGGTCAACCTGGGTTCTATCCCTAGCACCCTATATGGTCCCTGAGCTCCCCAGAGGTGATACCGGAGCACAGAGACAGGAATAATTTCTGAGCATTGCTGAGTGTGGCCGAAAAGCCTTAAAAAAAAAAAAAAGTATTCCTCCAGATTCCCACTGGGGCTCTGCTCCAGGCCACATCCTAGAGGCCATGCAAGGTGACATGAAATGATGGCTTTGCTCACCAGTGCATTTCCCCTCTTTCTTCCTGACAGTCATTGCTGATGCCTTCAAGAAAGCCCACGAGAAAGGAGACAAGGTGATGAAGGATGTCACTGAGACAGTCACCAACACAGTCTCAAATGCTGTCTACCACGCTGCAGAAAACCTGGGAAATCTGGGGGGACAGTGAAAACACCATGCCCCAGGATTCTTTTTGAATCTCAATAAAAACCTGTGACTTATGCACCTCTAGCCTTGGATTTATTCCTGTTTGGGTGGGAATAACTGTCCATGTTCTGAGCAGCCCCTTGGCAGAGTGGGGCCAGCAGGTCTGCACTGTGGGGAATGAGGAATTGTCAGATGTATTGTTGTCCCATAAAGATTTCTCATATTAGGGGCCAGAGTGGTAGTACCGGGGGTGAGGGACTTGCCTTGCATGAGGCTGGCTGTCTCAGCTTCAACCTGTTTGAATCCCTGGCACCATGTGTATTCCACCGAACACCACCAGAGGACAATCCTGAGCACAGAGTCAGGAATAGCCCCCACTGGGTCGAGCCTAACCACTCTTACTCTACACCCATGGGGGGAGGGGGTGGAAAAAGATTTTTTCTCATGTCAGCAAGGAGCTCTGAAGATTTGTTAGTGTTTATTTTTTAAATAGCATTTCAGAGAAAATATAAATTAACCGTGAGACACAGTGCTTCAAGGACACTCCAAGGGAGGACTAATTCACGTCCATGTTCTTTGAGTCATTCAAATTTGAACATTCTTGAAATGTTCTCCTGGGACACAGGGAAGAGAAGAGACTAACTTGATTGAAAGGTTTGCTGGGTCGGTTCAGCTTGCTTGGGCTGCTTCACTGTCCGCAGAAGGCTTCTGAGAAGCGTGTCTACAGAATTGGTCACTTGATGGCTCAAGGAAGAATCAATCATCGGTATTGACTGGGGAAGCTGTTGTCATCTCTGCTCTTGCAGGCTTTTGTCAGGCCTGGTAAGTGCTAGTGGGCAGTGGTGAGCAAGAGAGCTAGATCTTCTCTGCTTCCTGTCACAATGAGTCAGTACCATAAAGGTCAAAAGAATGGGGAAATAGCATCTGATTTAAATTATTATTTTTTTTACTTTTTGGGTCACACCCGGCGATGCACAGGGGTTACTCCTGGCTCTGCACTCAGGAATTACACCTGGCAGTGCTTGGGGGACCATAATGGATGCTGGGAATCAAACCTGGGTCAGCTATGTGCAAGGCAAATGCCCCACTCGCTGTGCTATCGCTCCAGTCCTCTGATTTAAATTTTTTATTTTGAAATATCTTGATTTTTGAGCCACACCAGGCTCTGCTCAGGGCTTACTCCTGGCAGGGTTTGGATCTCTATATGGGGTGCTGAGGATAGAACCTGGGTCAGCCACATGCAAGGCAAGCACCCTACAGCTGTATTCTCTCTCTGACCCTTCTAATTTAAAAAATTTTATTGGGGAGGAAAAAGTTAAAGACATGGAGCTTCTGTTTTCCAGCAATTCACCAAAATGACCAACACAGAGTGAGAGGAGAGGCCCCAATCTATGTTCTCTTGGTCTTTCAGAAAACTTGGGAGCTGTTTTCTCCGAGTCACACATGCAGCAACCTATAGGAAAGGTTGATATTGCAAGCCTGAAAGGAGTGGGTACTGCTCAAAAGGAACACCCCGCAAACGTCTGCATAGAAACACTGAAATAGTTGGCAACATTGCCCAGCTTATTGTAAACAAACAAGGAAAAGGGACAAAAAAAATCTTGCTAAAAGAACCTGTGTTTGTACTGAGCCCATTGAGTACGGTGGAGAGAGCTTCCTGGAAAGTGTGAGGGAAAATAATTCGGTAAAGAAGGAAGAGGAAAGCACGTAGCTTCAAGGAAGTAGCAGGCGGCTCCATGCAGAGCACGTTGCGGGTGGGAATCTGGGCTGCCTGGGGCCCAGGCCCTTACAAGCTCATGATAAGACATGGGAAACAAATAGGACTGTGCTGAGTAAAAGCATTTCTCTTTGACTGCAAGTTCGTGGGGTCCTCTTCTCCAAAACCATGAAGCATATAAAGAAAGAAAGAGGAAGAATTTGTAAAAGCAAGGATGACATAAATCATTTATCTTACAGGAAATTACTGGCTCTGAATTAACATTAAAAAAGGTGCTCTTCCGATGGAATAAGTAAGGTAACATACTTCTGTCTGTGCAGGTTTCTGAAGCGCTCAGGACTATCCAAAGCCCTAGCTTTGGAATATTTGTCACTGTCTAGGTATAGGTAGATCTGAACTTTTTATTTTTATTTATTATTATTATTTTTTTGCTTTTTGGGTCACACCCAGTGATGCTCAGGGATTACTCCTGGCTCTGCAGTCAGGAACTACTCCTATTAGTGCTTGGGGGACCATATGGGATGCCGGGGATCGAACTTGGGTCTGCTGTGTGCAAGGCAAATGCCCTCCCTGCTGTACTATTGCTCCGGCCCCAAGATAGGAACTTTTTAATTCCTTTAATCAGATCCTAAACTCAGGAGGCTGAGGGCATTGAGGGTAGCAGTGAAATTAACATCCTCTTTGTATTTTTAAAATAATAAAAACTAATTTTGTGTTGAGGTCCTGTGATTTTTTTTTTATACTGTTATATTGGTGATGCACATACCAGTCCCCATCTCCCGCTCCTAAGGACCCTCCCTTGCCAACCTCTCCAGCCCCAAGGCAATTGTGTGAATTGGTTCTCCCACTGTTTTGCTGTTGGCTTTGTGTTACTACCTTACTAACACCCTCTCTGAATGACAGTCGCTCTTACCAGGCCTTATTCTCCAGGTACACATAGGTACATGCAATGTTCAAAGGGTGAACACAGAGATTCACAGTGGCATATCTGTGACAACAAACTACTGGAAACGCCTGGGCTAGAGATAACTCAGTAGGCTGAGTGTGCGTTCTGTGCTTACTCCATGGTCCCCACCACAGCACCGCAGAAGCAAGTCCTGAACACAGAGCTGGCTCTGGGCACCATTGGATGTGGTCCTAAAACAAATCAAAATCATTTTCGGGGGTTGGGGGTGGCCAAACCTGGCAGTACTCATGGCTTACTCCTGGCTGTATGCTCAGAAATTACTCCTGGCAGTGCTTGGGGGGACTACAAGCCACGCTGGGCACTGAGCCTGAGTCAGCTGTGTGCAAAGCAAATGTCCTATCCACTGTACTATTGCTCTGGCTCTGCAAATAATATTTAAATGTTTTTCTGTGCCACTAAGACCCTAAATGATCGGTTTGAGGCTCTGCATGTTCCTAGAACGAACAGATACCATTGGGCTACGCTAGCACGCAACCGGGATGTATGGAGACGTTACTGGCACCCGCTCGAATAAATCGATGAATAACGGGGATTAAGTGATTTTTTATGCCAAACCTGGCAGTGCTCATGGATCACTCCTGGTCAACTTGGGGGACCATAGAGGTGCTGGAGATCCAACTCAGGTCAGCCCTATGCAAAGCATATGGCCTACCCACTGTACTATCGCTCTAGGCCATCTGATATAAATATTTTTAAATGGTAGCAAAACACACACACACACACACACACACACACACACAAACCTGTGTACAGAAATATGAGGAATCTTCATCTTCTAAATCACATAATTTTATGATGCTTTGTAAATTTAAAAGCAATACACTGAGATTTCAAAATGTGGTCATGGAGCGCATGTTTTACCTTACTCAATTCTGTTTTCTAAATAAGTACTACTCAAAGTTTGCAAACTTTGTTCTTATTTGGCCATAAGATAAATAAACTAAAAATGTTTAGAACTTCTCCTAGCAATTGCACATTGCTTTGGCCTGGAGGAGAATTACTTGTGGACAGTTCTTGCTAGACAGGCTCTAGACCAGCTCATGTTGAACTTGAATGGTGAGTTGCATGTGAACTAGTCACACAAAGGACGACCATAGGCTCTGATGAACTAGATGAAAAGACAAACAGACTGGACAACATTCCCAATGTTCCCTTTACTCTACCCTGCCATTGCTGTTCTAAAACAAGTACCACCATCCATCATTTTTTGTTTACTCCGTGTTGAGCAATGAGGAATAGAATATTGACCCCTAACAAACTAAATGAATTTCCTCCAGAAATTCTCTCCTCTTTAACAATAGTGAGAATACTGGCAAAAGTAGAATCAACTTTTGTCTGGAAAATTAACTAGACTTGCAGCAATTCAGGAAACACTAATGTAAAAGTTCTGGTCAAACAAAATCTTGTTAAAAAGAACAAGCTCTGTGACGTTTTCATTTCCTTATTCTAATCTCATTCCCTACCCCACCCTCTTCTTCAGTGCCCTCAGTCCCTTAAAAATCAACAGCCACAGTCTGCACAAATGCCAGCCTGGCAGTCATGGAAAGAGTGGGCAGGATTATAATCTCCTCAGTCTCTTTCCCAGACAATTTTTATTTACTGGTGGCTTCCAAAAAGACCTAAAGGGTGATGGTGGCTATTATGTGTATAGTTTTGTGCATGTGTGCACATGTGTGTGTGTGTGTGTGTGTGTGTCTTTATTTCTCCCTGGAGATGGGGGGTGTTTTTTAGAAACTTTATTTTTGCTTTTTGGGGTCATACATGGCGATGCATAGGGGTTACTCCTGGCTCTGCTCTCAGGAATTGCCCCTGGTGGTGCTCAGGGGACCATATGGAATGCTGGGAATCGAACCCGGGTCGACTGTGTGCAAGGCAAATGCCCTACCCACTGTGCTATCACTCCAGTCCCTGTTTTTCAGAAACTTTAGAGGCAATTCTTTTCATTGTTCTGGAGCCACACCCAGAACACTACTCCTGGTACAGTCAGTGCTTGGGGGATCACTCCCAGCTTGCTTTGGGGACTTGGTGATGCTGGGATTTAAATTCAGGTCTACATGCTCCAATCCTCTGTACTATCGCCCTGACACTATAATTTCACAGGTGTTGGCTTTATGAGGTGGTGGGAAAAAGACATGAAAGAGGGCGGGGGTGTGGGGTGGTGGTACTCCAACATATTTCTGGGAATTTCTATCTATGCACACACACAGGGTTATGTGCAGGTGAGAAAATGAAATCTTTCCCAGTCTTTGCTAAATCCTGACAGCTCTGCCATGAACTGACCCTGCAAGCCATTTCCAATTTTCTAATATGCATAAAGATAGTCAGGTATATATGTGCACAACTGAAGGGGTATGACCCCCACTCAGCATAACAGCAAGCTCCAATGAGCAACTCAACTAAAGGGGTGGAACCCTTCACAGCAACTGTGGCTGAGTGTGGGCACTGAAACGTGATGTGAGACTCCTGCAAGCACAAAATGTGTGTGCGCCACAGTCAGGGTGTGCTATTATGACCCTTGGTGATTGCAACAAGGGGAAAAGATCACGATGGAGTTGGATTGGCCCTTAATCCAGTATGACTGCTGTCACTGTCAGAGGCACCGAGGCGTGACTATGTGATGGTTGGTAGAAACTGTAGTAGAGCACCAGAGGGATCGTAGGGTAGGTGAGCTGATAGGGTGCTCACCTTGCACACTGTGGACCTGGCATCCCATATGGTTCCCTGCACAAGTGATCCCTGAGCACAGTGTCAGGATTAAATCTCAAGCACTGCTGGGTATGGCATCAAAACAAAACAAGAAACTGGAGTAAAGCAGCTGTAAGCCAAAGAATGACAAGGACTGATAATCACTTAGTAGCATTTTCCCTTACAGGTTTCAGGGCAGGAGAATGATACCTGAATCCTATAACCCCCAGAACAGACTACAAGTTTTTACGTCCCCTCATCGGGAAACTCAGGATTCCCTACATGCATGCAACAAACGTCAGGGAGTAAGCCCCAGGCTTCATGCTTGCCCTAGGCACTTTTGCTACTGAACCACCTTCTTGTCCCTTCTTAGTAGGGAGCCTTAATAGAAGAGCTGCCAGGATTGCCCTAGGGTGTCCGGGTGGCACCTGGGCTTAAACTCATAGCCCTGACCTTGCCAAGCCAGCACTTTCAGCCACAGAGCCATCTTCCAGGCCTCTGAAGTTCTGTTGTTCTGAGCCATCCAATTTGTGGCACTTTATTAAGGTCACCCTAGGAAATGAATACAAGTTATTAATATTGGCACCAGTGTTGAAAATCAACTGACCTGATATTTATAAGCTCTCATTTCAACTGTAGCAGTTTTATGTAGCTTTGTAGTATTTTTGAAGTGTCTTCTAAGACTTTTTTCCTTAATATTGTTTTATTAGGAGTCAACTTAATTCCTATTAATTCTTGGGTTAGATTTCCAACTTTTTTAGGCCACACCCTGCATTGTTCAGGGCTTACTCCTGACTCTATACTCAGGCAGTGCTTGGAGGACCATATTAGATGCCACGGATAAAACATGGGTCAGCCGCATGCAGGCCTAAGCACCCTACCCCCTTGTACTATTGCTCTGGTTTCTAACTTTTGAAAAACAAAAAATGGCCATTGGAATTTAATTTTTAGGGGAACCATATGGTGGAAGACGGCCGGGGCTTCTGAAGATAAAGAATGTGGTCTAGCTCTCTAAGTTATCTCCCTGGCCCTTGGGCTTTTACATCTCTAAACTGTTCTTTTCTTTTTTAAAATTTTATTTATTTTGCTTTTTGGATCACACCTGGCGATGCACAGGGGTTACTCCTGGCTCTGCACTCAGGAATTACTCTGGTGGTGCTGGGGGACCATATGGGATGCTGGGAATTGAACCTGGGTCAGCCGCGTGCAAGGCAAACGCCCTACCCGCTGTGCTATTGCTCCAGCCCCCTCTAAACTGTTCTTAAGACTATTAAAACAATATTAAGACCTACAAATGTGAGCTTTCTTTCTATTGAGGTGCTTTCTTTTTTTTTTTGTTTGGGGGGGTGCACCTAGCGGCATTTAGGAGTTACTCCTGGCTCTGCACTAAGGGATCACTCCTGGAAGTGCTCAGGGGGACCATATGGGATGCTGGGATTAAACTTTGGTCAGTCGTGTGCATAGATAGCAGTGGCCTACCCACAGTACTATCACTCTGGCCCTGAGTGATAGTTTAAATTTTTTTTACATTTTTAAAACTATACCGGAAGATATTTTGTTCTTTTGAATGCTATTATAAATAAAATTGTTTTATTTCCTTTATAGATTGCTCACTGATGGTGCATAAAAACACCCTCCCATCCCCTTTTAAGGAACCCTTTCAAATAGTACTTAGAAGGCATGAGGACCAGTCTTGCTGATCTTTGACCAGATAGGCTGGGTAGTTCAGTGCCAGGGCCCAAGGATACAGTGCCAGCACTAAGGTAAACACAGCAGTTATGTGTATACATATTCCATGGTATTTTCTCTATATAAGTATTTTCAACAAACAGAATATTCACTTCTTCCCAATTCAGATGCGACCAATTGCTCTGGAGAGAACTTTTAGCACAATGTTGATCAGTACTGATCTAAATAGGGCTGGAGCAATAGTACAGTGGTAGGGTGTTTGCCTTGAGTGCAGCCAGCCCGGCCGAGCCGGGTTCGATTCCTCCATCCCTCTCAGAGAACCCGGCAAGCTACTGAGAGTATCTCGCCCGCACGGCAAAGCCTGGCAAGCTACTGTGACATATTCGATATGCTAAACACAGTAACAACAAGTCTCACGATGGAGACTTGTTACTGGGCCCGCTTGAGCAAATCGAACAACGGGAGGACAGTGCAGTGCTACTGATCTAAATCTACTGCCCTCCAGTATTGTTTCAAGTATTATGAAAATTGTTTTCCTATCACTCACACCCAACACACTTCAGCACATCTCCTGCAAGTAGACATCAGCATGCTCAGCTCAGTAAGGGCTCACTTTCTCCATGGTGCAGCTTTCTCTACTGACTTGATGTTTAGAATGATGTTAAGGCAAACTTGGGGTAAAACAGACACAAGTCCAGGCAAATGTTTTTTCCGAACTAAAAGCTAAGTGATAGAATCAGGTTCACCATCCAGTTCTGTTGCTTATGACTAATACTCTATCTTGCACAGAACCGGAAATAAAAAGCCCTGAGTACCACTGGGTGTGGTCCAAGTCCCCGAGAAACAAAAAACTCTTAATACAATAAAACCATCTTCATTAAAAAAAAGGCACTTAAAAATTACTCATAGATCAGCTTTAAGCATGGAAACATCTTCTCTAAGACAGCCATTGACAATACTTAACAGAATGAAATAGAACTTAAGAATAAAACTTGGGCAGTTCACAATATATTGTTAAGAAATTATGTAGGTGGCTATAAACTCAAGAACCCAACTATGGTTTTATTATCTACCAAGATATCACATACAAAAACACAGAAAAGAAACCATAAGCTTTGGAAAAGGTAGACTTTTAATAACTGCGTTTGTCATCAGGATAAGTCATGCAGTTACAAAGTAGTTAGAAATTTCTGAAAGGATATTATTGTTTTAAAAAAAAAAGCTCATTCGTCCATAAATAATAATCTAGTACTTCATTGGGACACTACTGTTCAGAAGACCCTGGCCAAATAACTCCCAAATAAAACACTCAAAGATTTTCTGCCCACTGTTAATGATGCTGAGTGCAGAATGTGAGACCTCTAAAAGAGAACACAAAGTCAGGCTGAGTGGGGGCCCCTGGCAATGCTGAGAGCCGCCAGTTAGACTCCAAACAAGGAGATCACATGGTTTTTCTTTCTGGGACACTCTACTTGAATTATTGTTCAATTAGTCAACACAATAGATCTCCCAAAGAGAAAAGCAATTAATTAACATGATAAGGAGGTTACTGCATTCTTTGGACTATATGTCATAATTACTTAGTAAATTCGAACAATCTTAACAAAAATAGTGTCCGTTATTTGCTTGTATGAAGATAACTCTCCAATGGGCTTTTTATATTTGCTGGACAATAACACAGGATTGTTAAGCTATAAATGATACCGTTTTATATGTTATAAAAATACTAGCTTTTTCCGTTCATTATGTTTATATAGGCATTCACTGCTTAGTCAAAGTTAGGCTGTTAAGTGATAAAGGCCATTTTATTACAGCAGCATGTACTTATTTTATTCTAAAAGAATAAAATGCATAAAGAGAAATAGCTTTTATTTTTGTTTGTAACTTGTAAAACTGAGTTATTATGCTGATGTAAAATATCAATAACTCACTTGAGGACCATGCCACCTTCTAAAAACGCCACACCTGCTTTTTAAGCATGTTAAAAGTTACAGCACATCTCAGACTTGTCCAGAGTTAAAGCAGCTAGCAACTGATTACTCTTGGATAAGTGCTTTCCTAGGCCATAGCTCTGGGTTGGGAAAAAGCCATGGAGCAAGGCAGCACAGCTGGATGAAAGACTTTTTATTTAAAGGCAAAATACCCAAAGGCTCTCTGGAATAGATGATTTCTACTTTCACACTCATTAGCTTTTATACATGATCCCCCTACCCTTAATTTCTTTCTTCTTAAGGGGTTGATTTGGATTGGCTTGTTGAGAATGGTGTCCATTATTTAATAAGTCATGAGAGAAAGAGATTTCTGTGGTTACATGTAAACTTGTGATAGGTCGCGATGAAAAGGTGAAAAGGGAAGGGTAGAAGCCAGCCACTATCCATCTATGTGAAGGTCACACCAGCTTCATTGTACACCTTGAAGACTTTTTCAATGGCATTGACATAGGCAGCTGTTCTGAGATCCAATCCCAGGTTATACTTCATGGCTGTACGCATGATTTGCTGGACAAAAAAAAAAAAAAAGGAGATGATACAATGAGTACTATTTTGTCTAAAGCATCCACAAATACGCTAGATGTACGGTCCTGCTACAAGTTACCGCTACTACTTCAGCGATGAACTTGGCCCACAAGAGAAACTACTCAGGGAGTAAAACAATCTAGAGTTAGAAAGGACTAACTCTCTAGAATTAATCTTTTACTGTCTTGGTGGCATTAAGGAACTGCTCTACAGAATTTTACATGAACCAGTCTCTCTGCCCTTTAGAGCAAGTTCATCTGACATTTATGACATGCTCGCTGTATCTCATTAAGAAATCAACACATATTTGACTATCTGAAAACATTTCAACACTTAATATTAATATTGAAGAGGCATGGATTTTTCTACACACAATGAGAAACATATAGACTGCTACTTTCTATCACCACATGGGCAGACTGGCAGCTGAGATGACACAGCTGAACGTATACTTCACCTAACTGGCAGAAACGGCAACTGTACACGTACCCTTGCAGAACGCTCCATAGTGTATGCTAAGCCAGAGTGCACGATATCTTTCTCAGATGCACCCTATTAGAAAAAAGAACATATAAGTTTAACAAAGCCAAAGTGATGTTTTATCAACAAGAAGGTAAAGGATCCTAGAGTCAATATACAGTCAAAGAGAATTGCTTGACGTACTTAATTTCTGCTTAGTACCTTGATGCCCTATCTGAGATGCAGACACACCACAGCAACATTTATGTCAGAGTGCAACAACCTCTGATGGCAGTGGAGATGGGATTCTGCCTATCAGCAGCGCTTTCATTATACTGCTGATGAAAAAAACGGATCAAAGTCGAAAAAATTTGTATTTTTATCTTAAAAATTTTGTTATAATTAATGTGTCTACAATGGCATTGACATTTATGGCCCGGATATACCAATGACGTCACCTCATCATCACCAATGTGCCCAAGCCCCCCAACCCATGCCCCTGAATCACATCCTGCCTAGTGTCCTCCCCTCAAATCTGTAGTTCTTAGAATTTATTTTTCAAGAGCCTAAGGCTATCTTTTTGCTATGCCAATCATCTGTCAATTTGTCTCACTAGATTTCGCTAATCTATTTTTAAGAAGACTTTATAAAACTTTAGAACAATTAACTATCTCTACTACTCCTGACATATCTAGTTATAAAATGTACTTTCTGATATGTCAGATTAGAAAAAAACAAGTGAATTACCAACAAAAGTTTTCTACATTTTACTTTATCCAATTAACACTCTATTCATTAAAGACACAGCTCTGGAACATTTCTTTTACTTAGGAAATTTGGGCTAAGGGTCCGAGCAATAGTATAGTGAGTAGGGTGCTTGTCTTGAATGCAACCTACCAGGGTTCAATCCCTGGTATCCCATATGGTACCCCAAGCACTGCCCGGAGTAATTCCTGAGTGCAAAGCTAAGAGTGATCCCTGAGCATCAAAGCTAGGAGTAATCCCTGAGCATCACTGGGTGTGACCCAAAAAGCTAAAACACAAACAAAAAAACCTAAAATAAAACTAAACAGGTGCCCCCCCCCCAACAAAAGGTAAGGTAAAGGTAAAGGTAAAGGCCCTCCCGTTGATCATCGATTTGGTCGAGCGGGCCCAGTAACGTCTCCATTGGAGACTTTGTTGTTACTGTGTCTGGCATATCGAATCGTCACAGGGAGCTTGCCAGGCTCTGCCGTGCGGGCGAGATACTCTCGGTAGCTGGCCGGGCTCTCCGAGAGGGGCGGAAGAATCGAACTCGGGTCGGTCATGTTGGCCGCTTGCAAGGCAAACACCCTACCCGCTGTGCTATCGCTCCAGCCTATCTATCCGGTGCTATCCCCCCAACAAAAACAAAAATAAAAAAAACTCTCCCTGCAAAACAACAAACATAAGGCTGAATGAGACTGCCAAAATTCTGAACTCAAATAGAAGTGATTCAGGAGCTGAGACACTTCAGACATTAGAAGTAATGAGCGACAGTGAACAGTGAAAAGATGATAGGATCAATGATACAGGCTCTGGTGGTGGCAGAGTATGATTGGGTAGAGAAGGAGTGAGAGGGAGGGAGAGAACTGAAACAAGTTTTACAACCAACATTTATTATAAGGCAAAAAATTCAAGAAGCAAGTCATTAAGAGGTAATTAATGACACAAGAATCTAAAATTAGCAGTAGTGAACTTCAGCTTGTGAAAATAAGGACATCTGGTAAAAGATTATATAAGGATAAAAAGTCACCATGGTCTGTCTTTCTAAACTGGCTGGCTGTCTTGTTCCCATACTTCAGTGTATGGTTTAAATTACAGTGACCTAGAGCCAGAAGGATAGTGCAGCAGTAGGTCATTTGCCTTGCAAGCAGTCGACCTGAGTTTGACTGCCAGCATTCTATATGGTTCACTGAGCACCACCAGGCCTAATTCCTAAATACAGAGCCAGGAGTAACCTAACCCCTGAGCATCTTCAGGTGTGACCCAAAAAGAAAAAAAAAATGCTGTGACTTATATACAAGGCATGTTATATGATGTGGGATGACCACAGGGAGGAGCAAGAAGCTCATCTAAAGGTCTGGAGTAACAAAACAGTTGGTTGGGCACTTGTCTTGCACATGACTACCTGGGTTCAATCACTGGCATCCCATATGATCCCAAGCAATACCACAAATCATTCCTAAGTTTAGAGCCAGGAGTTAGCCAAGAGCATTGTCAGGTATGGCCCCCAAACGAAACAAACCAAAATAAGCAGCTCATCTAAAAGCAGTAGTAAGAGCAGGTCCTGCCAATGCATTCTAAGTTACTTGTGACCAAAAGATGCAGGGGATGCTGGCATGTGGAGAGGGCTTTCAGGGGAAGCAATCAGTAATGTGATGATACTGGAGCTAGCAGTGGGTCAGGGAATTCCAGACAACTAGAACACATGTTGGCTCTGAGAAGAAAGAAGAGAGGTTCACTAGAAAGAATAACTTCTTCAAAAGGAAATTCTTTCCTATGTGGTAATAATCTAAAATTATTTTATTACAATATTTAAAAAGATAAAATATATTTTTTCCCTTAACATAAAAAAAAAAAACAAAAAAAAAAACACCAAAACTGGCCACACCCAAAGATGCTCAGGGGACCATATAAAATGCTGGAAATCCAACCAGGGTCAGCTGTGTGAAAGACAAGTACCCTACTTGTTATCTCTACAATGGAAGTTTGGTTCAAATGTAAACCAAACCTAGTAAAACATAATCATTCCTGCCAGTGCTTGGGGGACAACATGGGATACAGGGAATTGAACCCAGGTTGGCTGCATTGCAAGGAAAATGCCCTACCTGCTGTACTACTGCTTGGGCCTCAAGAACTATTTTCTTAAAGTAAGTCACCACTGAGGTCACTATTATAATGGCATGTAAAAGCACAGCACACGTTTGGAATTTCAATTTTTTCAATCTCCGCATATCATTATCAGAACAAAAGTACAGAGCACTACTAGAATAAATCTGAACAGAACTACAGCCTTTCAACAGCTAATTTATAATATGTTTTAACTCTTACCCATTTCTACACAGCAAATTCAATTTTTCATATTAGTACGTTTACTTTTTAATTATTTCTATTTCTATTTCTCTGAAACTTAAAGAGTTAGGATACATATTTTCCACAATTACATTAGAACTTCTTGTTGAGTCATCTATATTATGAAAGACCAAAAGCAGAAGTAATTCACTGATGATTCATTTTAAACTAGAACTCCATTTTTAGAACATTACAAAAGGAAAAGGTACACACAACTTTTATAATACACACAACTCATATAATTTCTGTTATGCTGATTATATACTGCAATTCAAGTAAATCAATCGGTCAGGTCTGAAGAGGGAAACAGTAGTATCTGTAAACTCTATCATAAACACACTCACCGATATCCTGTCTTGGAACTCTGATGTGGGTACAACAGGAATGGTTCCACCATGCTTTCCAAATTTTCTTTCCAAACTCTCTTGAACAGACACTGGAAGAAGCCAAGAGATCAGGGTAAAATACTGCTAGTAGGAAAAAGTAGAAGGGAAAGTAGCCCAAACTATACCCCTCACCCCCAAGCTAAGCGCTTTAGAGCCCTCTAACATGGCTGATATTAAAGGGCTAATCATGTTAGACTGAATAAAGAGGGAATAAAGCACTCTGCCAAATTGCTATATGAATGTGAATTTAGGTCACTACTCTGTTTCCATAACACCCATCACCAGGGTTTTTCCTTGGCTCTTTTTAAAAAGAAAAATGCTGAAGGAAAAAGAAACGGAAATAGATGGAACACTTCACCCAGATTCTCTGAGTAGGCTGAGCACAGAAGCTCAGTTGGAGGTCCTGGTCTTATTTCAGCTTGAAGAAAATCCTACTGTTAACTTTAGAGGCTACTCTAGTCAAAGGAAAAGTCTTCTCATCAGGTGACTCAGAATATTCTTGATACTAGCTTGGTCTTTCTTTACTAAAATAAATGAATGAATAGCAATAGGAGTTCCAGGTTTAAAATGATATTCCTTATGTTACTAATTTGTACATTTTATATTCAGGAAATATGTAAACAGATGCTACAGACATACACTTGTGTATAAATGAGAGATTAATATACTGAACAACTATAAAGAAATTGCTTATTTTTGGTCTGAGCCTCACAAGACAGAATATAGTTTTCTATTCTGTGATTAAACTCTTTTTGTAAACTCATTTACAAATTGGTAACCAACTAGTTGCTTAAGTATAATTTTCTTTCCCAGCTCGGTTTTGGCTGGCTCCATTAATTATTATTTTTGCAGTGCTTGGTATCAAACTCAGGGGAGGCTCACCTAGCAAGGAATATGCTCCATCACTGAGCCGTACCTCAACCCTCAGAAGATTAAATTTCTTAGGGAAAAATCATGAGAACTTACTGAGTAGGTGGTAGTTGGAATCTCTTTCATATTTGAAGGTCAAACGACCGTAGCTGACATGATTCAAATTCTTTAGCCACTCAAAGTAAGAAACTGTAACTCCTCCAGCATTCAAGTAGAGATCCTATACAGACCAAAAAAAAAAAAAAAAAAAAAAAAAGAGAAATCAAGGAAATGAGGAGACCAGTTTTTACTAACAGCTTACAATAAACATAAAAACTCATTTAAATCAAAGCAGATTAAACGTTGGACTACATTTTAGATACATTTGATAAAGTTTGGTTAGAGCCTCTTTATCAAAGAAATTCTCAGACAACACTGCTTGATGAATAACCACTTGATTGTACTATTCATAGGGTATATTCCACAACATCAAAGGGCAATCTACTTTAGTCGAATCAAACTCGTTTTGGGTGGTTCTGGGAATCAAATACAGGACCCTCAGGCATGCAGGGTTATGAGCGTCAACACCAGCCACACACCTCAGGACCTCCAACTGATTTTTTTTAGTAATTTTTTTTTTTTTTTTAGGCGGGGAACATAGCTAGCAGTGCTCAGGGCTTACTCCTGACTCTGTGCACAGAGAGAACTCCTGGCTATGCTTGGTGGGGGTTGCAGGCAGTGGCGATGCATGTATGCAGTGCAAAACCCTACCTGCTGTCCTATCTGGCCCTCAAATTGATTTTTTTGGGTGTTTTCAGTCAAGAAACTTTCAAAATGCATCAAAAAATCTGTAGGATTTCTAATTTTCAATAATGTTTTTAGTAGAGGCACCATACTCAGCTACGAAAACACATGTTCTGAATAAAGCAGTAAGGTGTATTCCAAATGCATCAGGTTAAGAATCATTAAGAATCTTTAGAGTTTAAGTTAGAATAGTATTTCTAGCACAATATAAATTTATGTAATTGAACTCTTTTTGAGGGGGGGTTTGGGGGGAGGAGAGAAGGCCTACAATCGGCAATGCTCAGGGGTTACTCCTGGTTCTACACTCAAGAGTTAATCCTGGTGGGTGGCTGGGGAACCATATGGGATTCCAGAGATTAAACCCAGGTCAGCCACATGCAAGATAAGCAACCTACAAGTTGTACTATTGCTCCAGCTCCTATAACTGAATTCTTTAAAAGGTTAAGTATATACTCAAGGAGCTTTAAGTTGGAAGAAAATGTTCAGACCAAGTAAAAACTGACAGGCCTATTATTTATTTTTAAGGTTACTCCTGACCGTGGGCTCAGGAGCCACTTCTGACATGACCAGAGATTTGAACCAGATTTGCAGCTATATGCAGGCCAAGTGTCTGCCCTTCTATTATCTCTCTAGTTCCTGACAAGTCAATGCCACTAACCATGCTTTTCTAGTTTTCTAAAGCAAAACAAGGAATGAAGAATTCATTACAGCTTGGGGGAAATCACATGCCTCTTGTTCCCTTAATTCCTTGCAAAAGACAATTATGATGCCAAGTAAATATGAGCCTGGCAAACAAGACTTACTGGAATAACCATAATGTTCCTCTCCAGGAAAATCTTATCCGCTTCTGGAGTTGTAGGTCCATTAGCACCTTCAGCAATGATCTGCAAAAGAATGAGAAACACAGAAATATCAGTAACATTGTCAAATTCCTTCCATTAAGGCCAAGAGATTTGCATCTACAGGCAGGGGCTGATGGGAGAAGCACACTTCCAGTTAAAATTAAACTGCAAGGGTTACCTTGCTCTGTAGAATACATAAAAAATACCATCACTTTTCTATCTACCTGACTACTGCTCAAAGTTTTAGGAAGACATCTATAGCAATGGTTGCATAATTCTGTGAATATATTGTACACGTAGGTAAATTTTTATGGTAAAGTATATACTAACAAAGCAATTTTTCTTTTTTAAGGAAACCCACAATTTATTAGTTATTTTTAAAATTTTGGTCACAGCAGGTGATGCTGAAGGATTATTCCTGGCTTAGCTGCACTCAAAAGTGGAAGTTCAGGAAACTAAATGGGGTGCCAGGGACTGAACCGGGTCAGATGCATGAAGGCAAGCATCCTGTTAACTGTACAATTTCTCCAGTGTCCAATTATGACTTTTTTGTGTGTTTGGGGGGGGAACTGTGGTGCTCAGAGAACCATATGGGATATCAAGGATTGAATCCAGATCAGCAGCATGCAAAGTAAGCACCCTACTAGTTGTATAATCACTCAAGCCCCGCCAATAATTTTTTCCTGGACCCATAACATTCTACGGTCACTGAACCTGTCTCTATTGTGATCTCACCTTGGCTTTGACTCTGGGCGCATTGGACTTGGTCAGCTGCTTTTCACTGGCAGCAGGAATCAGTATGTCACATTCAGCCTCCAAGATGCTTCCTTCATAGGGCTTTGCCTTGGGGAAGCCCAGGATTGATCCATGTTGCTGGAATTGATTGGATATGAGAATAGCTGAATTAGAGTTTAAATGTTTATATTCACTATCAATAACATGAAGATTTATTTATTAATAATTATTTAAATTACATTTCTAAGCAATGGAAACAGATTTCACTAAAACTTCCCTTTTTTGTGTGCAATGGGGGATCGAACCCAGGTCTTCTGAATACAAGTTCTGCATGGACTGAGCCACATTCCCAGCCCCTAGAACATAACTCACATTCCAATATTCAGTATAGTCCAAGTTTACAGATACTAGATTAACGTACCAACTTGAAGTCTTCCAGTTCCTTTGGGTCAATACCATCTGGATTCCATATGCTTCCATCAGATTCACCAACACCAACACATTTAGCACCAAAACGATGTAAATATCTCATAGAATGCAGGCCCACATTACCAAATCCCTGTGAACAATTATGCACGATACAAAAAACAAAGTTAGCAGAGTATTTTAAGTGCCTGACTATTCTGACCTGTTCTGACTATTCTGTTAGCCAGTAAGTAATTGTCAAATACTTTGACAATAAATTTCTAAGTTTAAGAATATGGAACTCAAACGTTGAAACCCAGTCATTGCTGAGGTTATTACTCCCTGATCACCAAATGTCCCAGGCTATAAAAAGGTTAAGTTGCTAACTGGAAAGAATAACAATTCTATTTTAAAATAGCATTAAAATAACCAAATATCAAGTAAATTCTTCTGGAAAATTGAAATCTGAATTATGCAAATCTGAGATGTCTCACAGTTTTGTATGTACCTGAAAAATATTTAAAGTGGTTTTAGTCACAGTAATGATAGCGAAACTCAAAAAAGGGGATGTATTACTTGGGAGAAAATAAAACCTTTCGGGGCTGGAGAGATAGCACAGCAGGTAGGGCATTTGCCTTACACGCAGCCGACCCAGGTTTGATTCCCAGCATCCCATATGGTCCCCTGAGCACTGCCAGGAGTGATTCCTGAGTGTAGCCAGGAGTAACTCCTGTGCATCGCCGGGTGTGACCCAGAGAGAAAAACAACAACAACAACAACAAAAAAAAACCCTTTCTAAAACTTGAGAAAAAATAAATCAAGTTAAAAAAATTACCAATCTAATAACATTAAAAAATTTTAAGCAAACAGAATTTTCACCTGAACAACAAATGTTTTATCTCCGAATCCTGGTGTCATTCCTAAAAGGCTCATATAAGATGCTTCATTGATGAAGTTTTCAATTCCATGAAAAACTCCCCGACCAGTAGCAGAGATTCGTCCATGGATTCCACCCTGACTGATGGGCTTACCAGTAACACAGGCATGAGCATTGATGTCCTGTAAGAGAAAGTAAACAGTAAGACGTTACTTACAGTAAACTGTCGAGGACTGTACCTGTGAGGAACCAATGCAACGAATGACTAAGATGACTAGCACATCTTCCTTCGTTTAACTAATGCTCAGGAGGAGTGTGTGATTAAGGTTCACTCTTGATAACAGAGACTTTTCCAGACTTCTATTCCAAGAAAATATTAATAGATGAGATTTCCTCAAGGAAAAAGCAGGGTTTTCAAGAATTTACTTTAACATCCAGGTAAGGAGACAGTTCAAAGGCGCTGGAGTAACACTAGGAGTGACACCTGAGCATTAAGTCAGGAGCAGGGCCCCCCGACCCCCAACAAGTCCCTACTTTCCAGCACTACTATTTATGGCCTCCAAACAAACTTTAATAGATAGCAAACACAAATGACACTTTCATAAAAAGAATTAGTTCAGCTGAAAATTATTGCTCCTCCCACAAAATTTAAGCCCTAGGAGATTAATATATGATTAGGTGTATGCCCTACCCGCTGTACTACTGCTCTGCCCCCACCAATTCTATCTACAAACTTGGGTATGTGACCAAAACAGGACAATTTAATGCGGTTAAGATATACTTTCGCCAAACTAATCTAGAAATTCAATAAAAATGACACACAAAAAAGGTATCTGCAGGGAGTCAGAGGGTAAGAGGGGTGAAGGCACTTGCCCCACACATGAAGTTAAACCTCATTCTATCTCAGCACCATGAGTCCCTTAAATATAAAGCCAGGTGTGATCCCTGAGCACTGAAACTGGTGTAGTACTGAGTACTACACCAGGTGCAGTCTCCAAAACAGACAAATATTTTGGGGCCAGAGTGAGAGTACAGCGGGAAGGGTGTCTGCCTTGCAAGTGGGTTTGATCCCCGGCAACCCTTATGGGTCCCCTGAGAACTGCCTCTAACCGGAGTAGGCCCTCAACACCTCCAGGTGTGACCTCCAAACGAAACAATATAAAAACAAAAATAAAATATCCAAGTTCACCTATTAAGGGTGGACAACAAAAATATTAAAGATAGTTTGCAGAGCATGTTTCATATAAGCTAAAAAATAAAAACAAAAATCAAAATACTTCTAGAATTAAAATATTTAATTTATATATTTGGATATTATTTGGGTTTTAAAAAAGGTAACTGTTGTGAGACAGTCATGCTTATGTAGAATTAAGTCCCTCTAGTAACAATGATTAGGTCTGAGAAGTGGAGCTAGAGAATAGTCTTTATTAATATTAATATCCATCTTTTGATAGTCTTTTTCTGTGGGGTGGCAGGAGGACCCACTCGGTTGTGTTCAGGGACCACTCCTGGCAGGGCTCAGGAGCTCATTTGGGGTACTGGGACCCAGGGTGCCGTGTACAAGGCAAGTGACCTACTATCGCTCTGGCCCCATCTTTTGGTATAATTCGAATTAATGGAGTACAAATATTCTTCAGAAAAACAAGCACAACCAGAGAAAAAGGAGAAAAGGGATTAAGTAGGCTTCCTTTCCAAGACATCAAATATATTACAAAACCGGCAGACAGAATAGTATGTCATAGACAAATCCATGAATAGCACAGGAAAAAGTCTAGGTTTTTTTTTATTTGATAGCAAGGATGGAAAGTAGTAGGTTTGGGCCATACCTAGAAGTACTCAAGGGCTACTCCTAGCTTTTTGCTTGGGAGACCCTCTGGATGCCAGGGATCTGACATGCAAGGCAAGTGCCCTAACCTGTGTATTACCTCCCTAGCCTTAGAACATTATCTTATATAAGAAATCAATATAAAATGAGGAAAGACTTTTGGTTTTGAGGCCACATCTGGCTGTGCTCGGAGTTTACTTCTGATCCTGCACTCAGGGATTACTCCACCCAGGTGGGACTTAGGGACTATATGCAGTGCTGGGAGTTGAAACGCAGGTCAGATGTGTGTAAGGGAGGTGCCTCACAGACGCACTAACTCTCTGGCACAAGGTGTCTTGGTGCTGCCTTAAAATACTTGGTTAAAGTATTTCATTTCCAAACCCGTGTCTTCACCTTCATTTATTTCAAATGCCTGCATTATCATTTATTTCAAATGCCTGCATTATCATTTATTTCAAATGCCTGCATTATCATTTATTTCAAATGCCTGCATTAATAAATGCCCAAATCTTTGTATTCCTTAAACACTTTTATAGAGTGAAGGTGGAATTGTATTACTTCTATAATTACCAACAAAAAGAGTTAAAGCAAGGGAAAAAATAGTCCAGTAAAGTGATTTATGGAATTAGTAGCTTTCCCACAGTTTTCTTTCATGAATAATTAATACTTATGAATACAGAATTGCAAACTGAGGCCAAAAGCTTTTAAACAGTGAGAATAAAAATTCTGGAGCTGACAGCAATTCTGTTTGAGGTCAGGCAAGGTGCCAGCTGCTAAACTTCCCAGCATACTTAATTGTCCTGGAAGCCCAAAGAGAACACTTTGCCTCCAGCGCCGGTTCATCAGAACGGGGCTTCACAAAAGGAGCTAAATGTTCATGTATGTAAATGAAGTAATGGAAAGGATGGTTTCCTCTTCTTCTACAACGCTGACCTTTCCACAAGCCAAACTGAACCCCCTTTCTGGGACTGGAGAGATCGTAGAGCAGGTAGGGGCTTGCATGTGATCCACCTGGACTGGATCCCCTGGCACCCCATACTGTCCCTGAGCAACACCGGGTGTGACCCGAAAAGCCAAAAAATAAATAAACTTGAGGAATATCTTAACAATCAAGAAAAAAAAAAAACCAACCAACCAAACAAACAAAAAACAACCCAGAAACAAACAAAAAAACCTTTCTCTGGACAGACACCTTCGAAGGTGTCTCCCCTTCAGCCAGGGCCATTTCCCCTTCCCCTTCCCCTTCCCCTTCCCCCCCTTCCCCTCCTTCCCCTCCCTTCCTCCCTCCCTCCCTCCCTCCCTCCCTCAAGAAAAACAAAATTTTCCAAAGTTGATCATAGCAGAGTTTCAGGCCTAAAATATTCCAACACTAACCTCACTACCAGTGTCAACTTCCCTCCACCACTGTCTCCAGGTTCCCCGCTCCACCACCAGCCTGGCTCCTTAACAGGCACAGTTGCAAGTTTGGTTATTGCAGTTTGGTCTCATGCTTACACCGCTACTGGCTCTGTGGTTTAGATATATACATATGCCTCACCTACACACCACCAGTGTGCCCAAGGTAGAGCCAATTTCTTAACTAGAGGCTATTCCTCATTATCTACCTTTATTCCCTGGGCAGGCTGCTTTCAAAACCACTACTCTATGGATAATTTAATAACCAAAGTTGGTCTCTTTTCAAAACCTCCACTACCCAGCCCGCCCTGGCCCTCAACATCTATAATACAGAATTTTAGGTATTTCTCATGTCTTTAAAAAAAAAAGTGCTTTCCCCTGCTAAAACACATCTCTGCTCTTTCCTACATCTCAAAGACAGATCAATCTAACTTCTCTTGAGCTCCTATATAGTCTCTTGCCCCTAAAAATGTAAACAAATAAGAAAATGCCACTCCACAGAGAAGTTTTACACCCTAGCTTATAACTAGTATTTCACTGGCTTCCATGTTTTCAGGACAAAGTCCTCACTGTCAGTTACAGGACAATAAAATGTTCTAACTCTTCTTCACTAGCCTCTTACTTTCTACCCTCACTTTCTATTCTAGCTGCCATGTTCTTCCCTTAGGAAGCACCCCTGACGAGGCTCAGGGGATCGTGTGGAGTGTTGGGGATTGAACCTAGGCTGGCTGTTGCAAGTCAAGTACCTTATGTGCTGTACTATCTCTTTGGCCCCTCATTTTATAGTTTCTTTCTTTTTGGTTTTTGGGCCAGACCTGGCAGTGCTTGGGGGACTATCTGGGAAGCCACGGATCGAACCCAGGTTGGCAGTGTGCAGGGCAAGCACCCTACCCTTTGTACTATCGCTCTGGCCTCCATAATTTCTATTCCTTCCTTTCTTGTGTTTCTTAGTTCCCCTTTAAATGAAAACTCTTTAAGAGAAGTCAGAATTAAATGCTTGCTTATTTTCCTTCTTCTAGTGTCTTAGTAGCATGTCTTGTCCTCTGAGAGAGTATCTGTTCAAGGGTTCCAACCCAGGGGCTGGAGTGACAGTAGAGCAGGTAGGGCGTTTGCCTTGCACGCGGCCAACCCGGGTTCGATTTCCAGCATCCCATATGGTCCCCCGAGCACCGCCAGAAGTGATTCCTGAGTGCAGGGCCAGGAGTGACCTTTGAGCATTGCCAGACTGACCACCCCCCCAAAAAAACCCCAAAAAAACAAGGGTTCCAACCCAGTATCTGGGATAGGGTGACATTAAAAGTTCAACCTCTGTTCACTGCATCTATAATTTAAGAATAGAGAACTAGAAGATAAGCTATACGCAAATTAAAACTATGATTGAAGAGGAGGTAAAAAACTCATTGCATACTCCATTTCTATATAATAAATCACATTACTTCTTGAAGAGAGAAAATGAAGCCTTCAGGGTTTCTTCCGGGTACTCACATAGTGCCCTATGGTGCTAGCATAGGTGTCGGCAATCCAGGACATCTCCCGCTCGCCTGTACTCATGTCTGGGGCAGGCACATCAATGCCAGGACCTGAGGGGCAAAGGGAAAGGCACTGAACCAGTTTTTAAGATAAACTCATTTCAGATAATGAAAAAAAAATTATATATATATCCTCTAATTTCCTATGATGATGAAATTACCATGGATAAAAAACTAGATTTTACTTTGCTTACTAACTGAAGTTGTGGGATTACTCATCAAATGTCACACCATCAATTTTATATACATAAAATGTTTTGTAAGAAGAATTTAATTTAATTTGCAAGAGGGCAAACATTTTATAATTTGACTAAACTGAATATCCCTATCCCCACTGTGTTTGCTGTTTTGAAAGAACAGGTCTGTTTAAGCTTCTGATAACATATTTGTCCATGTTTTAAGAAAAACACGATACCATTGTAACACAAAAAAGAAGTAGTTTTTAAGAGCTACTCTATCCCAGGATGTCTATATAAAAGCAGGAGATTAAATTAAGACAATTATTTTTTTTGAAGTTTACAACTCTATGGGGAGAAACCACATGGCAATATATACCAATGAAACCCTTCTTTGCTAGCTCCATGGTGAACCTCCTTGTGATCTTTTCCAGTTCATTATCCTACAAAGAAAAAAAAAATTGACAGACATGCCAGTAGGGAGACGAAATAAATTTCACCATATTTTCTATTTTTAAGACATTCAAAACATCTCCTTATGTAATCTTCAGCACAACACATGAAGTAGGTATTTCTAGTTTAAAAAATGAGATCAGATATTAGATTATATATATAAATGGCAGATTAAGTACCTGGGAATAAAAAGCCATTACCTTTTAACCAAGTAAGAAAATGAAAAAGGACATTGACATTAAGCAGGTGACCTTTTATAACAGCCAAACATTCAATGAGTTAATTATTTACTTGTTTTTCCATTCCCGTTAAAAACAATAGGGGTCATTAATCTCACTGGTATGGGAGATAAAGAGTAAGTTCAAATCCCTTATAAATGTATGGTGTACATAAATATTATTTTGATACTTACGGTGTAGTTCTTGGGATTGATCTTAACACCAGCTTTGGCACCCCCAAATGGTACATCTGAAAGAAAACGCTGAAAGTTATTATTCCACATAAAAGAGCATTTTAAGAAATTTTAAGCATCATCAACTGAGCTTTATTTTCAGAAAACACAAGAAACAAACCCAAATATTCTCTTTTAAAATGCTTTTAATCAGTTTTTTTTATCATTTCTAAAAAAGTAATAACACTGCATATTTATGTTTCTTCTACTATGACTTTGGTTTCCTTCCACTCTAAGTGTGATTTACTTTAGAGTATGGAAGGCAATTTAAACAAAGATCGACACTTAAAATCCAATTTGCTAATAAATATAAAAGGTAAAGGCCCTCCCGTTGATCATCGATTTGGTCGAGCGGGCCCAGTAACGTCTCCATTGGATATTGAATACCTAACGGGGAGCTTGCCAGGCTCTGCCGTGCGGGCAAGATACTCTCGGTAGCTTGTCGGGCTCTCCGAGAGGGGCGGAGGAATCGAACTCGGGTCGGCCATATTGGCTGCATGCAAGGCAAACGCCCTACTGCTGTGCTATCGCTCCAGCCCTGCTAATAAATATAAAAAGATCCTTATTCTAAAAAGACTTGGCCACAATGGCTTGAGATGACTCAATTGGGTGAGTTCATGCCTTACACGTGGGAGCCTTTGGTTCCATGCCTGACACAGCATTCTCCTGAGAATGCCAGGTGGGTGCCCTAGCCCCCACCTGCAAAAAACAAAAGAAAAGCCTCAAGTGAATGACTCAATAGTGGCAGGGAACGTGGCTCAATGCTGGAGTGCACACATCTCCTAAATGTTTAACCTTAGATTCAATCCGGTAACCTTTCCTGCACCCCAAGACTAAATCTTAATAAAGACTGAGAAATGTTAGACTTAAATTGTGCAGCTTAAAATAGTTCTGATAAACTACACTTCTCTATCACTTAAAAAGTAACCCTGTATATAAACCTATTTTTTAAACGAGAGCATGATAGGTAGCAATGAAATAGATCACTTACCAACCACTGCACATTTGTATGTCATCAGAGACGCCAAAGCTTTTACTTCATCTACGCTCACATCAGTGCTATAACGGATACCTGGTGGTGTTTAAAAACAAAACAAAAACCAAGCAGAAGGTGAGAAACGGAATCTATTTTAGAAGATCTTTCCAACATAATATCCACACCTTTTCTTTTTTTACGCTTTACGCCTTCAGTATTTCCAAGATCACTTGCAGTTGCTTTTGATAGCAGCATGAAGGATCCAAAGAAAAGCTATTAATTTAACCCAGACCTATAGAATGAGAAATCTGAAGTATTCTGAAAGTTAAAAAAAAAAAATGCTGAAGTCTAGTTTTGCTTCTGATTATAGATGGATGGACACTAAAACATTTCATGGGAATTTAGAGAGAAATATAGTCCTATCTTTCAGGGATTTAGAGCCCAGAGGGAAATAACAGTACCTAGGATTTCACAAGATACTATCCTATCCCCCTTAAATGAACGCTTTTACACTTTAAAAAAGCAAATAACTCAGTCAAGGCCTTTTAGTTTTTCCCCCTCCACTTTTTGGTTTGGGTGATTTGGTAGCAGAGAGTTTGATAAATTAATAGTAGATGGAATGTCAATAAGTTTGACACATCCAATTGCATTCAATTCAACCGAATATTATCACTGTCACTGTCCTCCCGTTGTTCATCGATTTGCTCGAGCGGGCCCAGTAACGTCTCCATTGGAGACTTCGTTGTTACTGTGTTTGGCATATCGAATACATCACGGGGGGCTTGCCAGGCTCTGCCGTGCGGGCGAGATACTCTCGGTAGCTTGCCGGGCTCTCCGAGAGGGACGGAGGAATCGAACTCGGGTCAGCCATGTTGGCTGCGTGCAAGGCAAACGCCCTACTGCTGTGCTATCGCTCCAGCGATATTCCAACCGAATATTAGAAGTTTAAATAGAAGTATTGTCTCCAAGTGGTAGGTATCTCAGAAGATCCTTGGTTATTACTCCCCTCACCCAATGTCAGTCTCTTTCAACCAACAGATGAAAAAGCTTTTGTATCCTTCCATGGAAATGAGCAATCCCACTCATTCTTACTATAAGGTGGCTAAACAGACTAGGTGTTTGGTAGAGGGGACACAGAAAGTGGGTATGCCCACACTTTAATATCGGAGTCTTTGTCAATCACCACTGTGAGTTGAGAGGTAAGTCACCTTTTGTTGTTTATAGTCCATCGTTTTGCAGTACAAATGATAAAGGCTGGGTTTGACTGCAGATTGTGTGGAGCTCCCTGACACTGTGTTGGATGAAGCTGGGTACACTGGGAGGGTGGGGGGTCATAATAGGTCTGAGGGACACCTACTAAAGAAGGATTTTTGGAATTAAAGTTTCCTAGGTAGAAAAAAACAATCTCACGAGTTGGCGCTCTGAGAAAACTTCCTAGTAATTTTGAACATTTGGACTCTTTATATTTCTAATAATACTGATATAAACATAAATTAAAAAAAAATATCTACTGCATATACTATAACCATAAAGATGAAATTGTGATGCTGAACACATTTCTGTGGGCCACATAAAAAAAGAAAAAGTAGCACCTCTCCTGCACTCCCACCTTGTAGCACCTTCTACCTTATGTTTTACCACCAACTTTGTGTTTGTTTAGTATTTTTTTTGCTTTTTGGGTCACACCTGGCAAAGCACAGGGGTTACTCTTGGCTCTGCACTCAGGAATTACCCCTGGCAGCGCTCAGGGGACCACATGGGATGCTGGGAATCAAACCCGGTTGGCCGCGTGCAAGGCAAATGCCCTCCCTGCTGTGCTATTGCTCCAGCCCCACTACTTTAATTCTTAATGTCTAGGGTTTAAAGATAGTCCAGTGGGGAAAGAACCTGCCTTGTACACAGATGATCTGGGTTGGATCCCTGACACCACAACTACATATGGTCCCTCCCATCCTGCCACAAAGATCCCTGAGTGTAGAAACAGAAGAAAACCCCAAACACTGCCAGGTGTGACCCCAAAACGTTAATTCCTGATGTCTAAAACAGATGTCATGAATTAGACGCTAAAATCATGTTGAACAGATATGTATTTCTTGACTCCTAAATGTTAAGGTGGAGGGGCTAAAGCAATAGTATAGCAGGTAGGACAGGGTATTTGCCTTGCACACTGCCAACCCAGGTTTGATCTCCTGAGTACTGCCAGGAGTGATCCCTGAGCAGAGCCAGAAGCAAGCCCTGAGTACCATTAGGTATGGCCCCAAAACAAAAAAATAAGGTAGAGAATCAGAAAAGTGATAACTGGCACACATGTATATTCTAAACTTGAGCACCGTAGCACTGTCCTCCCATTGTTCATCGATTTGCTCAAGCAGGCGCCAATAACGTCTCCATTGTGAGATTTGTTGTTACTGCTTTTGGCATATCGAATACACCATGGGGAGCTTGCCAGGCTCTGCCGTGCGGGCGGGATACTCTTGGTAGCTTGCCGGGCTCCCCGAGGGAAATGGAGGAATCGAACCTGGGTGGGCGGCATGCAAGGCAAACGCCCTACCCACATTCTAAGAAGTTCACCATAAATGTTCATATGCATTATTAAAGTACTAAAGAGTAAAAGCATTAAGTCCTAGAAAGTACTCCAGAAAAAATTACCTTTGTAAGTATCACTAAGATCAAACTGTTATATCTAAAACAAAAATTCTGTTTAAGTCCTGACATGTGAAGAGGAGTTGTGAGAATGAGGAGGGGCTAGAGAGATAGTACGGTGGGTAGGGTGCTTGCCTCAAAAGCCGCCAACGTAGATTTTATTCCCAGGATTCCATATGGTCCCCCCGAGCACTGTAGGAGTAATTTCTGAGTGCAAAGTCGGGAGCAACCCCTGAGCATTGCCAGGTTTGGCCCAAAAATCTTTAAAAAAAGAAAATTCCTATGGTTAAAAAATTAACAGTAAACACTAACAAGTGTTAAAAAAAATTTAAAATGTGGGGGCAGTGAGTCTGACTAAGGTTTGATGCCTGGAACAATGAATGGTTCCCCGAGCACAACTCAGGATTAAGTCTTGAGCACAGCCAGATATAGCCCCAAACCAAATAAAATTAAAATTAAACTTAAAAAAAAAAAAAAAACCTAAGTGAAATGATGTTTGGCCAGGTACCGGGGTGGGGCGCCATGTTTAGCACTTCTTAATAAACAAGTAAACCTAAGTTCAGAGCATTATCTGTGGGTGTCTGCACTTTCTCACCTGGGAAGGGACATTCTTAAGCTTTTTGTCAACTTCATGGGCAGCTGGCACAGTGCCCTTATGCAGATAATACTTCAATTACAGCTATTATCACTGCTATTACAAAGGTGTTTATTACAAATAAACATTAAGTTTATATTGGTAATTTAAAAACATGGTTTGGGGCTGGAGAAATATTACAGTGTGTATGGCGCTGGCCTTGCACATGGCCTAGCCAGGTTCCCATATGGTCCTCTGAGCACCAGCAGGAATAAATTTCTGAGTGCTGGGTGTGACCCCAAAGGGAAAAAACAAACAAACACTCAACAAAAACAACCCCCCAGGCCCCAAACCAAACAACAACAAAACAAAACAAATCCCCAAAACAAAATAAAAACATGACTCAATAAAACTCAATATCATTTCTCAAAATAAATTTGTGGAGGGGCTGGAATTAATACAGGTGCTGAGGCAATTAACTGCTTGTATACAGCTGACCCTGACTCAAACCCCAGCATCTGGGTCACTTCTGAGCACAGAGCCAGAAAGAGACCCTGGACACTGCTGGATGCGGGATCCAACTGCCACCAAATAAATGATAAAATAAATTTCAGGGCAATAATTGAATGGTGCACTGTGTATTTACTAAAAATAAATTACAAAGGGGGCCTCGCGCAGCAGCTCTCTCTAACTGCTGCCCGCGTGGGGTAGTCTCGGGCCACTTCCCTCACCCCAGGGGAGGTTGACAGCGATGGGCGGATGAAGGAAGGAAGGCGGGCCAGGCTGGTTGGTGTCAGTTGCAGTTTACTCCACTCCCATCTCCATTCTCCTGATTCTCCTGCTGCTTCTTCCTTCCCCATGCTACTTGATTCTCCACCTGCATCTCCCTCTGGCCCCTCTCCTTCTCCTCCTGGCTCTCCCAGCTCCCTCTTACAGTCTAGTTAAATCCAAAGCATGTGGGGGTTGGGGCTTACACACAGGTGTGGTTACAATCAATAGGGTTAATCTTTCCGTCAGGGAAAGCTGCTTCTAGGGCAGATTCTCACTGAGCAGGATGACACACCCAAGAGCGGAATCCCATGGGCATGCTTCTCCTCTCCTTGTCCAACAAACATATAAAAACATTCATAATATTAATCATTTTGTATGGACACAGTAAGAGATACATTAAGCTTATAGAATTGCTCTCCTTGGGTCATCCCGAGCTCAGACTACAGTGCTCAGGCCAGATTAGTCTTTCCTAATGCTAGCAGGGTCCTAATCTTGTCGTTACTTTTGGATCAGGACAGCATTTGTCCAGGACCATGCTCTCAACTTAGAGTTGAGTATCATGACGCCTTGGCCTGGCCCATTTCGATGCCAGGGTCCCTCACAGCTTGCCCTGGTTCCATTCAGTCCTTCGTCGGGACCCTGCTTTTGGGGTGCTAGGAACTAAGGGCAATTGAGGCTTAAGTCAAGGAAGCGGATGCCCCGGAGGGAATATTACTGGAAGTCAATTAAATCCCTAGTTACAAAAGCATAATATTAACTGTCTTCCTGTGTCTATACAAAAGGACATTGCTTTAAAGTAAACTGTTCAAAAGACAGGAGGAGAAAGGCAATTATTTCACTGAGAGATATGAAATCATAGATTTCTGAGGAATCTGACCTTACAAGTTAACAGAGTCTCATTTGGGGAAAAGGTGAAAGACTCGTTGGGAAGAGAGCATGGAGAGGAGTTTACAGATAAATACAGTGGAATGGAAGTGCCTCAGGAGCACTGTGATAAACCTGAGCTCCCTGTGGCAAGGAAACAATACATACCAATGTTATCCTAAAATGTTTAGAGCTACATTCCAATAAACACAGAGGAATGGAGGTGCTTCAGGAGCACTGTGATGGATATCACCTGAAAAACCTAAGGTCCCTGTAGCAAGGGAGAAAGGTCAAACCAATGTTAGCCTACAGTGTACTTTTAAAAATGGAATTTAAAAAATTATTGCTTTCTGAGTCCGCGCAGTTAATGAACTATTTCAATTTTCCTTTCCTTTCCTCTCTCTCTCTCAAAGCTATTTCACTGAGTGGGCAGTACAGTTCCTTCTTTCTTTTTTTCCTTTGGGGGGCACATCCAGCAGCTCAGGAATTACTTCTGGTTCTGAGCTTAGGGATCACTCCTGGGAGGGTTCAGGGGACCAAATGGGATGCCAGGGTTAGAATCCAGGTCAGTTGCATGAAAGGCAGACTCGCTAACTGCTGCACTGTATCTTGCTTGCTCCAGTTCCTGCTTTCTTAACCAGGGGAAAAAAAATTTAGTATAAAAAGTATAAAATATAATGTAGTACTTACACATTCAACGGTAAACTAAGCAGCATATGAACTAGTAACAATCATAAATCCAAGAGCAAATCACAGTATTTTAGACAGAGGTAGGAATCAGAAACTGAACTATTCCTTTTACAAAATAACATAAACAAAGCATCTATTTAATTATAACAGTGCTAGAATGATGAGTCAGAAACTGTGTAAGTTTAACCAAAACATGTTTCCACCAGATGGAACCAAAAATTTTTGCTTGTAAAGTGGAATGTTCTAGCCACTCCCATTTAGAGAGCTCAACTGTAAGACACAGAACCAAAGCAGTTATATAAATGACTTTTCACAACACAGGCGTTTTTGCAGACTATGAACCAGTGAAGATCTGGTGCACAGAGACAGTGGAAGATCTATTGGGAAACTAAGGAAAGTAGCTGTTAGGGGAATATGCCCCTGAGCAGGTCAGAGAAGGAGAAAGGTACACACAGAAACAAATATAGGTGGTAGTGTTGGGTCCACGGAAGAAATGTTTTTATTTTAACTTTAGTTAAATAGATAGATGTGTTTACTAGTGGAGGCTGGTGTATACATTATTATAGGACTACTTGAACTGCTAATCTGAAAAATAAGAAAAATACTCTGTAGTAATATTGAGAGAAACTGTAATATAGAAATTGCTCACACCTAAAAAAAAGCTAGCTCTTTTCCTCCTTTGGGATGGAAAATAAGTAAAACCAGGCCTTCCCTCCTTTCCTACGAGATGGGAAGTTAGGCAGAGCAGAGCAGGCTCAAAGTAAGCAGGACCAAAAAGGATTAGACAGAGTGGAGACAGAAACTCAAAAGCACCAAAAAACTTACTGCAAAAATAGAGAAAAATAAATTAGTTTAGGTGTCTTAAAATACTGTAACATGTTTTCTTGCATGCAGAACTCCTGGGGTCTGTACAGGCACTCTACTGCATAGTCCCCTAAGCACTATAGGGAATAATGCTTCCAATCCCAAAATAGGAGCAGCCCAAAAACCAAAACCAACCCCCCCCCAAAAGTGACTTCCTTTATATATTTTGCTAACTGGTATCCAGATATCTCAAAAGAACACCAACGAAACGGAGACATCTGCAAACTACATACAGCACACAGCATTTTCCTTTCTTAGAAGTTACTAAAGGTATTTCTTAGCTTCCTCAAGACTCTAAGATTGCTGCACACTGTTTTTCTAGGAGAAACTAAAAAGCCAAAGAGAAAACTAGCTGATGTTGCTATGGTGATAAAGAAAACAAACTGGCACTCATTACTCTGAAAAAGATTTGGTGGAAACCACAACTGAGCAGCTAGAAGTTTTCTTTCTTCAGCTAGTTAACAGAGGACTCTAGCAACTGAGTCACTGTTTCTATGATTCATTTCTAAAATTCAATTAGTTCTGATTTTTCTCCCTTCTTAAACTTACTTGAACCTTTATCTTTTTTATAGGGTTTGATTCATACATCAAAAATCCAACTTCTAGGGGCTGGAGCGATAGCACAGCGGTTAGGGTGTTTGCCTTGCACGCAGCCAACATGGCTGACACAGGTTCGATTCCCACCACCCCATATGGTCCCCTGAGCACCGCCAGGAGCAATTCCTGAGTGCATGAGCCAGGAGTAACCCCTGAGCCTAGCTGGGTGTGACCCAAAAAGAAAAACAAACAAACAAACAAAAACCCAACTTCTAGTTACATTCTTACTTTTTGTTTTTGAGCCACACCCAGCAGTGCTCAGAGCTTATTTCTGACTCAGCGCTCAGTAATTATTACTTGGAGGGGGGGGAATGGGGGACTCAGGAACCATATATAGAACCTAGGATAAAACCCTGGGTTTGTCACATGCAAGGCAAGCACCCTACCCACTATACTACTGCTCTGACCCCTATATTGTCACTTTCCAGGCACTAATTATCTATTTATTCATTTTGGGGTCACACCCCCTGGTGCTTAGGACTTAGCCCTGGTTTTCATGGGGGGGGGGGGGGGCGGCGGCAAATAGGATGCTGGGGATTGAACCGAGGTGGGGCAGCATGCATGGCAAGATCCTACTCACTGTACTATTGTTTCAGTCTTCAGCATTATTTTATAACCTAGAGCTCAACTATAAGAATAAAACTATTTTTTTTTTTTGGTTTTTGGGTCACACCTGGAAGTGCTCATTGGGGACAATATGGGGTGTTGGGGAATCAGCCCTGGGCTAGCCACATGCAAGGCAAAACGCCATGCTTGCTGTTTTCTATCACTCTGGCCCCTTTAAGAACAGAACTTTAAAAATGAAAAGACTTTAGATTCTTAAAATTCATGGATTTCCTTACTATTTGTTTATTAGAACCTATTTTCTCCACAATAGAATTTCCCACTGTACAACAGACTTGCGTAACTTAAATACGTGGATAGGAGGGAAAATGGTGAGGACCTAGCACTCATCAATAAATAACGACCACACACAATATTAGTAAGTCTTAGATAAAATTCAACATTTGGTATGAGGAAAAAGCTTTAGTGAAGGAGCTAAGGAAAACCACATTTTGATTTTAACAGTGACCATATGCAAAACATGTAAGAAGGCAGGGAAACAAATATTTTAGAGTTTTAACTCATTACAGCAAAATCTTTACTCCAGTCACTTAGAAGAAGCAAATTTAAGGAGAAAGCAAGAATTTGGTTGATGTTGGAAAGATGGAAAGTATTTCTTACTTTTATTGATGTATGTTTTCATCAAAATTTAAATACAGAGAAAGCTGAAATCTCCCTGGGCTACCATTTGTGACCTCAGTCATCTCATTATAGGTGAACATGCTCAGTTATGATTTTAAGTTTTCAAAACTATAGGTGTTCACCCTAGTCCAAAACACTTCCTTGCTTTTATTGTAATGTCTCCTGCCTGACAAAATTACATGATCACTTTCTATTTTGCTAAGAAAGCAGTGTTAACTAAGTAACAATTTCTTTCCCACACATGATTGCCACAATTGCTACAGTAAGAGCAATTGCAGACCAGCCCCTACCATAATGTATGTTTCTTTCTTTCTTTTTCTTTTTTTTGCTTTTTGGATCTCACCCAGCAATACACAGGGGTTACTCCTGGCTCATGCACTCAGGAATTACTCCTGGTGGTGCTTGGGGGAACATATGGGATGCTGGAAATCGAACCCGGGCTGGCGCATGCAAGGCAAACACCCTACCCGCTGTGCTATCGCTCCAGCCCCAATGTTTTTTAATTTAAATGTCTGTAACACATACATCTTTATTTTGTGTTTTTTTCACTTACTTGGCAATAAATGGAGAAAAGATTATACATAGGAGAAAGTCATTATTATTTCCATAAATTCATTGATAGCATTAAACTTAGTCAAACTAATCTTAAAAATTGATGCTAGTTAAACGTATAAATATAAAGTTGGCTAATATTTAGAAAATATCGCACATATTGTTATAAAAATGTTTAGAGATAAAAAAATTATCAAAATTTCAGATACCCAGTTTCATGTAGATTATTTATAAATGTACGTAATATTTGAGATGGATAATAAGGGAGGAATAACAGAATTATAGGAAGACAGGAGACCAGCACCAAAGACAGAGCAAATATACTTTGCTGAGAACAAGACTGAGAAAAACATATTTCCAATTTTCATAATAATCTCCTTTATTTTTAAAATTCAACTCTCATCTGTTAGGAAATGCTGTTCTTTCTTCAAATTGTTGTCTCTCCTTCAGGTTTCATTTCTTCTGCCATAATTACCTGTGAGTCCATCCTCAGTGTCATTGTTGCCTAGCTTTCTGTGCTGTCCATTCATCCAACAAACCTCAAGACTGCTCATGTACTTTGTGGTTTGCTTTTGTGCCCGTATGTGATGCTCAGAGCTTTCGCCTTGCTCTGTACTCAGGGATCACTTCTGGAGAGGCGCTGAGGACCAAAAAGTGGTGCTGGAGATTGAACTAAGGGTTGGCTGATGAGGTGGGCAAGCACCCCTCCCCCCCCCCCCACACACACACTTGCTGTACTGTTGCTCTGGCCCTGCTCAGATAATCATTTTTGATTTTCTACCCAAAGCAAGTCTCTTATTCCCTACGGACTCCAACTGAGTACAATTCAATTCTGGCCAATGACTATACAGAATCAATCAATGCAAACACCACGAGTAAAGGACTCAGTTCCACATGACCGCCCTCCCTCTCATTTCATGTGTTGGGTTCCCAGATTTCCATTCAACCTGGAGATTACTGATTGGGATTCCACACCACCCTTCTCAGGCTTGATAATTTGCTCTAACAGCTCAATAAACTCAGGGAAATAGCCTACATATATCTGCTTATTTTGAAAGTCCCTGGTGTAGGAGGAGCTTCTGTTCCTATGGAGCTGGGATTTGGCACCCATTCTGGCTTATGAATATGTACCAGGAAGCTTCCCGTACCCAGTAAGCAGTTTAGGGATTTTTAGGAAAGCTTTTTCTCACAGGATAATCCATTTTCCTACTCAATTGCTAGCCCTCTCCCCTCCCTAGGATGGGGTAAGAAGCTGTAAATACTAAGTGTCAGCCCCCATACTGAAATTATCAAGGGGCCACCAAAGAGATAAGAGTTGCCACATTTGAGCAATAGTTTCTATCATGAAATTCTAAGGAACTCAGAAGTTCCTAGAGTAAAAACCAGGTATTAGGACAAAAGATGTTCTTAGTACCCTATCGCTTAGGAGATGACAAGGGTTTTAGGAGTTCTGGGACAGGACAAAACCTTTTTTTCTCACTAAAAAAAAAAAAAAAAGTCAGTTCCTATGACCCAATCACACTCAGTCCTTCAGATTTAGGCTGAGTGAGCCATCCTCTTATCTGAAATGATCGTTTTCCTGTCCAACTCCTATCCAGCCTTTCTCACTTCTAGATCAAGTCTGTTGCTTCCTGGAGAATCTTTGAATTCCAACTATAGAAATGTTGTTTAAAGTGTTCAATTGTGTCATTTATTGACTGGAGTCAGAAATTGTAGAAATAGAACACTGACAAAAAAAAGAACAACAGTGTACAAGAGATTTTTAGATTTTAAGACTGTGGGGGAAATCAATGAAAAAAGTATTTCAAAACATAAAAAACCTATAGAGGGCGATAGGAATGATAGTACAGGGGCACTTGACATGCATACAACCGGCTCCCATTCAATCCCTGGCACCCCAATGGCCATCCCTGAGTACTATCAGGAGTGATCTCTGCACAGAGCCAGGAGAAAGTCCTAAGTACCACTGGGTGTGGTCAAAAACCAATAAATGCTCTTGCTCACAGGGGAAAAACCGCATAATGGAATATAACTAACTGTGTTAATAATAAGTGGAAAAAGAACCATACTACTGACAACCTGTGGTTTTCATTTGTGTCAGCTTTCACATTTTCCTATAGCCAAGAAGCAATTCAGAGAAATCAGGTCGGACACAATTTTCTCTAAGAATAACAAACAAGAGAAACACTAGCAACTCATTATAAACAAAAAACCTTTTCTAGTTGTAAGGAAGAGATTCTTGGAAGAAAGTTATTTAAAAATTATTCTGTTGAAAACCTGCAACACATGAAAAGACTTTACTAGAGAAATGAGTAGTTCTACAACATTAAACTGTTAAAACACCACTGTTTTTGAAACTTCTTTTAAAGGAAACCTTTCTTCAAAGGTTATTTTGTTGTTTAAACAATTACTAAACAATGGACTTTGAGAGATAGCACTGTAGCACTGTCCTCCGGTTGTTTATCGATTTGCTCCTGCAGGAGCGGGCCCAGTAACCAGTAGCTTGCCAGGCTTTGCCATGCGGGCGAGATACTCTCGGTAGCTTGCCGGACTCTCTGAGAATGGCGGAGGAATTGAACCCGGTTCGGCCGGGTTGGCTGCATGCAAGGCAAACGTCCTATCGCTGTGCTATCGCTCCAGCCCTTTGAGAGATACCATTTATAAATTAATTTTCTATGCAAATGTTTGAATATGCATTAATTTTCTACCTAAAACTTAGCTTTTTAAAACCTTGCAGCAAACTGCAAATAATCCAAAATGTTAGGAATCATGTGACTGGGAGGACACGGTTCTCAAGTAGTATTTATCCTACAATACAACTCGCAACTTTTAAAATTAATATTTCCCATGTAATAATGACCTAATATTATCTAATCATATGACTAGAATTTCATTCCTAAATCTACTACTGTGTACCATGCAACTTTGCAGAGACTGCATTATTCAGCTATAATGATTCACATTTGAAAACCAGGATCAACTATATATATATATATTTTTGGTGCCATATCTGGTAATGCTCTGGGTACTCCTGGCTTTACACTCAGGAACTACTCCTGATGGAGCTCATGGGTTCATTTGGAATGCCAGGGATTGAACCCAGGATTGAACCCAGGTTGGCCGTGTGAAAGGCAAACCCGTTATACTATTACTCCACCCCCCTTCCCGGCCAACAGTATTTTATTTCCTCAGTTGTGCTGAGGAAATACTCCACAAGCATGAAATATTCTTAGCAAAATGTATGCAGAGAACTCAGGAATGGTCTGATGTACACAGGCAGCTCAATAAATGTTAGTTATTGTTGCTATCCTGCTCTATCTTTGCTAGTGACCTCTGTGAAGGTGGCATCTTCCAGGTTCACCTGTCTTTTTGAAAGATAATCAAAAACAAGCAGCCCTTCCCAGGCTCTCTTGCCCTTCATAAAATCTTTCCTGCCTCTGCGAGTAATATTTCGTACATGAGTTGTCATGTACGAAATACTACTACTTCACTATTACAGCTTCAATCTGCCTCAGGGAATAGGGAAATACAAATCCACCTAAACTGATAGGTCAGGGTTTTTTTAAAGTTTTGAAACTGAGATTATTTTAGGTTATTTTGTAGGGAAGACCAGAGAATAGAGCTGCACCACTTTTTATTTCTTAACTTTCATTACTACCTGGATACCTGAATAATAAGTGTGTATTTAAAGAAGCATTTGTTGGGTATTACAATTGTGGGCATTTTAAGAATTGATGTGCGAGCATGAGTTCTGAATTCAACCCATGCTTGTTGCCCACACATGCCGAGTGAAATCATGGTGGCTCGGCTGCTTGGGACTGCTGGTGCCAAAATTAGGTGTGCAATCTCCAGCCTCCTACAGTCAGGCCCCAGGGAAGAATCACAACTAAAATGTGCAACACCACAGTGTGTGACCCCTGGAAGCACTGCTACAATTCGGAGTGTGCAACCTCTGGTCATAAGAACAAAAATAATGAAAAGTTGGCCAGAGAAACAGTAAGGGGTTAGGCTTACTTATCCTGAACCTCGGATTCAATCTCAGCACTGCATGTTTCTCCAGGTACCACCATGAGTGTTGCTGAGCACAGAGCCAAGAGTAAGTCCTGAGCACTGCTGGGCACGACCCAACCGCAACCCCCAATTCCAACCCAATCTAAACAACAAAGAGAAAGGAAGATGAGGAAAAAAGTTAGAAATAACCTTTACTTTTTTCCCCCCATGGCTAATGAGACTTTAATAGGTCTTTAAAAATTTTTTTATTATTTTTTTATTAGTGAGACACCATGAGGTACAGTTGTAGACTTACAAATTTTGTGCTTGGGTTTCAATTATACAATGATCAAATACCCATCCCTCCACCAGTGCCCATTTCCCACCACCACCACCCATCCCCCCATCCCCCCCTGCCTCTGTGGCAGGGCATTCCCCTCTGTTCTCTCTCTTCTTTTGGGTGCTGTGGTTTGCAAAAGAGGCAATGAGTGGCAATCATGTTTGGTGTATAGTCTACTTTCAGCATGCTTCTCTCATCCTGGGAGGATCCTCCCAACACCCTTTATTTGGTGCTCCCTTCTCTATCTGAGCTGCCTTTTCCCCTAGCATAATAACCTTTACTTTTTAAAATGGTCCCTCCCTAAGAGAATGGTGGAGGGGAAGTTCTGGTGAAGGGTGTGTTGTCAGAACACTGCATGCATGAAATGCGCTAATAACAATACTGCAAAACACTGGTGTTTACCCCTCATCCT